CGCAGTAAGTTTAAGAAAAATCATGTATATGTCTATATGATTCAAAGGTTTCAAGCATGTATGTTTAAAAAGTATATGTACATATGTATGTTAAGAAAATCGAGGTTGTAGCTAACAACCCTAGTTTTGAGTATTTAAGTTTTAGAACGTTGCAACAGTGCATGCAACAAATAAACGAATTTTAAACATGATGATTTAAATGATTGATTTTAAAAGAACTTTAAGATGTACTTGAATTTAAGATTTCTCATGAAATCCGTTTTAAAGTCAAATTAAATGGCCCATTTGAATTGGCTAGTTTTAGAAAGGCTTTTAAAGAGTATTTGAAACAAGAGTTCAAACACAGCTCCATTTAAAAAATATTTCTAGAAGGTTTTATCTTAATTGAAATTAAGAAAAGTTTTAAGAAATTCAATGATTTATTCTTTTGAAATTATTGTTACGAATTATGAAAGTATTCCTTCTTATATTTAAAAAAAAAAAAAAATGTTATGTAAATTTTAAGAAATGCCAGTAAGTACAAGTTAAAAACTAAGTTACGGTGGCGGCCTCATAGAAGGGTCGTCACAGATATATCACTAGGAAAATAATAATCTTCACGATACTAATGTTATGATTTTCATGATGTGTATCATTGCACTCTCACACACGTACGCACACTGTGTACGCAAATATGCTTGTGCATGTGTCGTAAAAGCACATACATACATATATATATACACACACACACACACACACACACACTCATCATTCATGATCTTATGAAAAAAAATAAAAATACCACTCAAAATGGTAAAATAAATAAATATTTATGCTACTCCCCTTAAAAATAAATAATCATCACTTATAAAGAGACAATAAAAACCCGCCATAATGACATCCAATAGAATGATATAATAAATAATAGACTTGCTCAAAACAAATCATATCTTTTTTTTTATTATGTGCCTATATAAAAAGGTATATGTAAAAAAAAAGGAAAAAAAATAAAAACATAGTAGAAAAAGAGATTGAAGGAACCTCTTAGAGAGCCTGTCCTTGAAGGTGCGTCTATAGGCCGGGTTCCAACGAAGGCCTTGAGTGACAATCCAGTAAAAACCAAACCACAGCTCAGCACCAAGCAAACCAATCCAAGCCCACCTTCCATTTTCACCTTGTTTTGGTATGTGACAAACTCTATACGCCCAAATCAAACATATGCCCACAAGTATAGTCACGGCAAACAATCTATATATGAATCTTCCCTCGTACCTCTTCGTCTCAAACAATGCTAAATTTTCTCTTCTTTCCATTTTCAGTGTAATTTTTTCTCTTGAAATATTATGCTCCAAAAGGTATTGTGTGTCTAATATCTACTGAGGGCTATTTATAGACTATGGCAATGACTAGGGAAAAAAAAGAAAAGTCGTACAAGGAAATCTCATCTTTTCTTTGGTATAAATGACAAAATTGTTTGAACAAAAGTTAATAATTGGCGGTTAATTTGACTATATACTATTTCTAAGAGATGGTTGTTGGTTTTAACTATTTCATTTCATTTCCTTTGATTCATATAATTTTCAAGTGGTATAGGTCAGGTTCAGAATTGATTCCTTTTTGTTTTTCACGTTTTTCGAAAAAAAAAAAATGAAAACATTCTCAAAACGACGTTTAGCGCAATAAAGACAAAAAATGAAAATGAAAACGATTTTTTAGTTTAGTATAAAATGAGAGAGAAATGAAAAATGACTTTTAATCGTTTTTCATTTTTTGTTTTCATTTTCTCCTCTCTGGAGCAGAGAGAGAGAAAGGGATACATTAATGGATTTTTTACACTGAAAGCAATCTTTTGATAAAACTACCTAACATATTTTTAAAAATGATTTATGTCTGAGATTGAAAACGTTTTCATTTTTATTTTCATACCAAAAAATAAAATCATTTTAAAATAAGTTCCAAACGCGCCCATAGAGTCTATACTATGCTTCATTTATATCTAAATTCCGAACGCTTCAATTAATTACCAATTAACTACAGACAATCAGTGATTAATCATATATTGTTGCCAAAGTTAATCATTAATTAACCATATCAATTTGTTTGGGGTAAAATTATCTTTTCATTAAAAGCGACGTATCTCAAACTTTTTCACAAAAATAGAGAATTAGATGATACTGTAACATAATTGACTCAATAATTAGTCAAGAAAGCCGCCTCCTAGATTAATAGAAAATATATGACCTGATACGTACGTAATTCTTTAGATATGAAAGAGAGCAAAGTCTCAAAAAAACTCTTTACATAGTAGTAATAAGTGGGTACTTGGCACCAGATGTACGGCCGATATGAGAATTACGTGTACAAATAATAAAAGACGTACATTGCTTTCATTCATAAAAAGAGATTGATCCAAAATTATACCTTTAGACTTTGAAGTCAACTAAAGAAAGGTCAAGTTCCCAATTTAATCATCTCCATCTTGAGAGGCGTATTTTCTCTCCTAGCCGCCAGGTAATTGCAAAGTTAGAATTTGTTTTTGGAGACTTGTTACGGTATCGTTAGATTTGATTAAAATTATATAAGATTAAAAAATATATAAAAAATAAATAACTTTTACTACAGATTAAACGATTAAAAATAAAGAATTATTAACAATTTGTTTTTTTTATCCTACCAAATAAACTCCATTATTTTTGAAGCCGCCCACCCCACTTGATAAATTCTTGCGTTGTTTTGTTTTGTGCTTTATTTTTGGATATTTCTTTGATAGAGCATCTTTACTCATAGGTCAATTTATGACTGTTTGGATCTGATTAAAATCAAAACATATAATTTTTAATATAAATGTGACGATTGAAAAATAAAATCTCTTTCGATAGTCTATTTTTTCAATACATACTAGAGAAATCTCCTTAATTTTCTTTTGCAACGAAGTACCATTTTAACACAATCGCTATGTATTCTCACCTCTTATTATCGTTCATAACGGGCACTTCATAAAAATGTTAAATACCAAAAGTTCTAGTTATAACATGCCTGCTGTAATCTTGATGGTTTTTCTGGAAAAAAAAAAAAAAATTGATGGTAGTTTTTTTCTATATAAAAAAAAAAAAAAAAAAAAAAACTTGCTTTAGTTCTCTCTACACATTAAAATTCCTTTTCCTTTGCTTATTTATTTACTATTTACTAACTTTCGGATTATTTCATGTTCTATAGTTATATTCGCTTAAGGCATTAGTTAAGAAAGATAACAGAAATGTTCGCAATCAAAGTATACGACATGCATACTAACGCAAATATAAACAACAGCAGTTGTCTATCAAACTGCTTTTTCCACTCTATTGGCTTCTTTGTATTGTTGGCGTTTTCTATTTTAGAGAACATGTCGCTTCCATGTTATTGTCGTTTTCATGTTATTGTTGTTTTATGCTCTATGTAATTTTTCTTTAACAGAGTTCGTCTCGTTTCATGAGGTTAAGTCTCATTGTCTTGATTGTTGTCGTTTGTTCAGTTGGTTCTGTTATTACATATAATGTCGTTTTTAATACTATTGTCGTTTCTGGTACATGTCGTTTTATTCCTATCAATTTTTTTTTCTTTTTCTTTTTGGCGATAATTTGGTCAGACGGCTCAAATAGATGCACCAAAAATTGAATTCCATTACTAGTGGTTATTATTATTATTTAAACTTAGAGTGTGAGATTCAAACTCTTTATCATATGGTGGAGTTAGGTGTAAAATTACCGTTAAGCTATATGTAACTGCAACCATTACAAGTGGTTATGTATCCATGCTTAATTTTAAGGGTTAAATACCAAAAAATGCTAGCCATAAATTATAGAAGCAAAAATATGCTTTATTTCTAGACGTAGAAAATATGCTTTATTCCTAGATCATGAATGACTTAGAATAAGACGACATTATTTTGTCGTTTCTGATCCATGTCGTTTCATTCTAGCAAAGAAAGATTAAGATCATTAATACACTATTCAACTTCATTCACTCTGCTATAGAGACATAGTGATGATTCAATATTTATTTACCGTTCGATCAAGAAGCATCGAATCAATCTTAGCTCTTAAATTGCTGTAAATCTTATCTACCCATATAGTTTGCTGCATATATATTTTTGATTCATTGGATATCTTAAAAGAAAATCATAATCCATGCTTTCTGTTCTTGACCACTAGAGTACTTCCAAATGTCATCGTTATTTCTTGAATTAATTACAAAAAGTTACATCCGTTCTCCATCATTTATAAAATATTAACGAAAAAACTCTTTATATTTTGATTTTTAATAGAATTAACACATGTTACACAAAGAATAACAGCCATCGAGGAATTTAGTGTACAATTACCATGTTAACTTCTTCCTGTGCAGCCACACGGAAGTAAGAAGAGAGCAATATTTTTTAAAAATTTTAAAGATTTTTTATTTTCCTTAAGAATATAATTTTTACATTATATCAACTTTTAAATTCAAATTAACTTTTTGCAAAATAGAATTACTAAAATACTCCCATATTATGTAGCACTTGACATGTTAATTTATGTGTCAATTTCCATTAGAAATCTCAATAGAATTAGTTTTTTCATTAATATTCATAGATTGAGGAACAAATGCTACGTTTTGAGAATTGAGACAGACACACTATTACAAGGGCTATAGTTAAGCGAAATTTTTTTTAATTAAATCACGCTGTTAAAGATTCCCTTTTTTTTTTTTTTCAAAGGGAGATTACTTATTTTTTATTTATTGTTATTTATTTATTTTTTTTTAAAGAATCCAGCTTAGATTTCGTTTTGGTTGTAATTGTGAACAATTGGATCTTGTATCCTTGTAGGAAAAGTATCCTACCCCTGCTTGGTGCTTTTTGTATTGTTCCACTAAGAATATTTTCCTTTTATACCCTCAACACTACTAAAACTTTGCACATTTGTCCTTTTTAACATGTCTACAATCTAAAATAACGACGACGTCAGACCCCAAAATGAAATTCATTTGCAAACACATCACTCTGAATATTTTTATTTTCAAAACCAGTTGGTATTAACTTACCAACTAAACCTTTTCAGCATAAAAAAAACTAACCAACTAAATTCTAACTACCCCATTCGTGCGGGTCACGTGACTTTTTCCATCCAAATTCCGACAAAAATTTAACGGCGGGACCATTTCTTCGAAATTTATAGCATTAGGTAGTAACTGAGAACCTTGAAAATTGTAATATTCAAAGTAAGACAACTTAAATCCTTCAACTCGAAAGGCCTCTATCTTACATAACCCAAAACTTTTTTTTTTTTTCTTTTTTTCTTTTCAAATGAAGAGGATAACATGAAATTAAACTAGTCAATAAGGAAAATCATAAACAGAAAACTCACTTAAAACGCGTCCATAATTTTTTATTTATTTTTAATTTGCTGGAAATAATTGTATTTTATGTCAAATTGCTCAAATTAAAATAAAAAGAATGATTGTCAGCTTGTGCCTGATTAAAAGATTCGTTTAAGGAAAAATAAGCAAATGACTACCTTAGCATTTAAGGAGAAATAAAAGTTGTATATCCAGGAGAATTAATAGAACTCGATTGGTAGTTGATTATCATTGATAATTCTTGGGATTCCAAATGTCACCAAAAAATGTCAATTAACTTAGACACATCGAAGCATTTAGGATTCAAATCACTTATCCAATTTTTTATGTCAGAATTGAAATCTAACCAATCAAATTATGACGCATTATTAAATAACCTCAAACATTAAAGCATGAAAAAGTATTTAAAAAAAAAACATTTCAAATCTTTTAATGACATATAATATAGTTGATTAGATACCATTTCGGACATCGAAATTGGATAGATGATTTGAGTGTCATTATTTATTATTTAAGAAAATCTAGCATGGAACCTATATAAAACTGAGCTATATCAATATTAGCTGTTTTTCTTTTTCTCTCAAAACGCATCAGGCGAAGAATCTATTTCTATTCATCCTAGTACATTTCATGCGTTTTCTCCTCTTTATGTTTATGATATTGAAATTTGCAGCTGGGAAAATGACCAGAATAGCTAATTCAACTCTAAATTTGCCTCCAGGACCATGGAGGCTTCCTGTCATAGGAAATCTGAACCTTCTTATCGATTCTCTACCGCATCGTCGCCTAAGAGAGTTAGCCAAAGAATATGGACCCCTTATGCATCAACAGCTCGGAGCACTTTCTAATGTCGTTTCTTCGCCTGAGATTATGCGAGAAATTATGAAAAGACATGATGTTAACTTTTCTCAAAGGCAATTTCTTGTTGCCGCAAGTATCTGTGGTTCTGTAGACATCGCATTTGCGCCTTACGGAGACTATAAGTGGAGAGGCGTTGGGCTAATTTGCGAGCAAGAATTGATGAGTCCCGGGCGCGTTCAATCCTTCAAGGCAATCAGGGAAGAAGAGGTATCCAGTTTACTTGGGTATTTGTATTCAAGCGCAGGCTCGCCAATCAATCTCAGGGAGAAAATATTTTCCTTCACTTATGCCATCACAGCAAAGGCGGCTTTTGGTAAGAGATGCGAAGATCAAGAGGCGTTCGTGTCATCGGTCGAGGAAGGTATCGAGTTTGCCGGAGGTTTTAGTGTTTCTGAGGTGTTCCCTTCCCAAAAATGGCTTCATTGGATAAGTGGCGTGGGACCTAAGCTCGAGAAAATCTTCAATAAAACCGATGAAATACTTGAAAGAATTGTTGAAGAATGTTGAGATGACAAGGAAGCAAAAGTGACTGACAAGGGTAAAGCCAACAGTATATTAGAAGTTCTCTTGAATCTTCAAGAAAGTGGATATTTTGCAACTCCCTTTGACAATAGAAATATCAAAGCAATTATCCTGGTTTATTCCATGTTCCTATTGCACATTGCTACTCAGTTCTTCTTCTTCTTCTTCTTAGAAACATGATTATTAGCGACGATGAAAAGTCGTCGTAAAAAACCCAAAGTCGTCGCAAATATTATTTTTGTGATCATCGCAAACATGTCACCGCAATTGATAAAGTGACAAGTTGATCAAAACCAATAACCCAGGTAGCAGAATTTGCATAATCAATGTCTCACAATGTCTTGCAACACTTCTCGCCACGACTGCCTCCATTACCGCCCCGGAAAAGCAGAGGAGATTGAGCAATGGAAGGGTATCATGAACATCGGTGAGGAAATTCCGAACTCCAAGATCTCTTTCTCGTACCTTTGCAACACATCTTCGTCGGCTAATTTGGTGGTAATTATGAATACCGAGTTGGAAAATCCAAGTTTGTTAAGGATGGTGTCAATGAATGCAAAGAGGTAAGAGCTGGCTCTCTTGTAAAGCCATATCCTTTGGTCATTCCACCAGCCCAAGACTGAGCCACCGGACCATAGAAACTCTTCCAAAACAAATGCAAATTGTATGAGCCATGGGCTCGATATCTGGTCAATCCACAAAACAAGAATCAGTTTTTTCATATTCATTCGAGTTAAAGAGTACATCTATACATTCACTGGCATCCGAGATCTTTAGCACATCCCAACAAATTGTTGACAGTACGCATAAAGCTCTCATCCAGTACCAAAACTCGTACTCAATTTATTCGTTTTGAAGGAAAATTATAAAATAAAATAAAATGAAAGTGAACTAGCCCACAACATAAAATAAAAAATTTAATAAATCAGATATAAAATCAAATGAAAAATATACAAATGTTAGATTTAAAAATTTTTTTTGTTCCTCTGTCGATACATCCTGGCTCCGTCACTAGGATAAGTAAATCCTGACCCTCCAATTGGTGCTTTTTGAGTTTGTTCTACTGAGAATATTCCCTTTCCTACTCTGAAAAGTACTAAAACTTAGCACATTTGTCCTTTTTTATAATGTCCATTATAACAACGACATCCGACCTCCTAAATGAACTTTAAATGCAAACACATCCCTTTGACTCTTATTTTCAAAACCGGTGATATTAACTAACCAACTAAATGTTAGCAAATTGGGTGGCAAAATATGAAATGAGAAAAATGTGGACACAAATATTTTACGTGAAATACCCTTAAATAAAATGGGGTAAAAACCATTGGCAAGTGTAAAAGGATTTCATTATGAAAAAAGGGAATTACAACCTTCTTTCTAAATGGGGATTTCACTATGAAAAATCACTTGTCCAGTTTTTGATGTCTCAATTGAACTCTAACTAATCACACTATGACACGTCATTAAATGGACTTAAACATTAAAATATGGAAAAGTCAGTTAAAAAACAAACAATTTATATCTTTTAAATGACGTGGTATAATTTGGTTGGTTAGACACTATTTTTAAAATTGTACTGATGATTTGAGTTTAAGAAAATCTAACATGGAACACCTCTATAAAACTAAGCTATATCAATATGCAACTTCATCAATATTGACCCAGATTAGGTGTCCTTTTTCTCACTCCTTCCAAAACACATCAGATGGAGAATCCATTACTGTCCATCCTAGTCCATTTCTTGCCTTTTCTCCTCTTTATGTTAATGATGTTAAAATTTGCAGCTGGGAAAAGTACCAGGACAGCTAATTCAACTCTAAATTTGCCTCCAGGGCCATGGAGGCTTCCTGTCATAGGAAATCTGCACCTTCTTATCGATTCTCTACCGCATCGTCGCCTAAGAGAGTTGGCCAAAACATATGGACCCCTTATGCATCTACAGATCGGAGAACTTTCTAATGTTGTCGTTGCTTCGCCTGAGATTGCACGAGAAATTATGAAAACTCATGATGTTAACTTCTCTCAAAGGCCATTTCTTGTGGCAGCAAGTATCTGTGGTTCTATAGATATCGCCTTTGCGCCTTATGGAGACTATTGGAGACGCCTTAGGCTAATTTGCGCGCAAGAATTGCTGAGTCCCGGGCGTGTTCAATCCTTCAAGGCAATCAGGAAAGAAGAGGTATCCAATATACTTGGGTATTTGTATTCAAGCGCAGGCTCGCCAATCAATCTCGGGGAAAAAATACTTTCCTTGACTTATGCCATCACAGCAAAGGCAGCTTTCAGTAAGAAATGCAAAGATCAAGAGGCATTCGTGTCATCTGTTGAGGAAGGTATGAAGTTTGCCGGAGGTTTAGTGTTTCTGAGGTGTTTCCTCCCCAAAAATGGCTTCATTGGATCAGTGGCGTGGGACATAAACTCGGAAAAGTTTTCAAGAAAACCCATGAAATACTTGAAAGAATTGTTGAAGAATATCGAGAAGACATGGCGGCGACAGTGACTGACAAGTGTAAAGCAAATAGTATATTGGAAGTCCTTTTGAATCTTCAAGAAAGTGGATACTTTGCTCCTTCCTTTGACAATAGAAACATCAAAGCAATAATCCTGGTTAGTATTATCCCTTCACTAATTTTATGTTCCTATTATACATTACCAACTTTTTTTTTTTTTTTTTTTTGAAAACATTATACATGACTATTTTTCAGGACATATTCGTTGTTGGGAGTGACACAACCATGGAGTGGGCAATGCTCAAGATGTTGAAAAACCCGAGAGTGATGGAAAAAGCACAAGCTGAGGTGAGACAAGTTTATGGAAGAGAAGCAAAAGTTGATGAAACATGTCTCCATGAGCTTAAGTACATAAAGTTGATTATCAAAGAGACTTTGAGATTACACCCTCCTGCCCCCCTTCTTATTCCAAGAGAATCTAGAGAAAGTTGTGTGATAGACGGATATCATATACCTGCGAGACCCGTTCATTTCACCAATTCGAGTTTAAAATTCGAGTTTTGTTACAGTAAAAGGCTCTCTGAAATAGTCACATCTAACTTTTTTACTACAGTAAAAAGCTCTCACATAAAGTCACATCTCAACTCGAATTAAAAACTCGAATCAGCGAACCAAACGGGCTTTAAAGTCATAGTCAATGCTTGGGCGATAGGAAGAGACCCAAAGTACGGGACTAAACCCGAGCAATTTTACCTGGAGAGATTCATCGATAGTTCGGTTGACTTCAAGGGGGCTCATTTTGAATTTATTCCTTTTGGTGCTGGTAGGAGGATGTGTCCCGGCCTAGCATTTGCTACAGCTGGTATTGAGCTTATTCTTGCAACTTTATTGTTCCATTTTGATTGGAAACTCCCCAATGGGACAACCCCATGAAAATCTACTCATGACTGAGAGTTTTGGGATTGCTTTGAAAAGGAAAGGGGATATTTACTGAATCCCAGTTCCATTATTTACCCCCTATTTTGGCTTAATTGTTAGTTCATTACAAGCCAATGTGAGAACTCATTGAAAAGTACTCCTTTCTTTTGTTAGTTCATAAATAAATTGTCTATTTGACTTTTTGTAATCTTGTGAAACTCAATCAAAATCAAAATGTCTGTTTCGGTAAAAGGAGAAACTAAAAATTGTTACGTTCATGAACAAAAGTTGGCGGTCAAAGTAGCATGCACAATCAAATGAAGCAATTACAATCAAGCAAGGAGAATTAGCACCAGTATAGTAACAATCAAACACTGGGACCATGCCTGAGGTCTGAGCGAGGCATCATCGGCGGTACCGAATCTCGATACTCGGATAAGAGAAAATGACAATGATGGGTCCCCCGCCCGCTTCTCGAGCATTTCGTCGAACAACTTCAAGATGGTGTCATAGATGGTCACCACACCTAGGCCATTGACCATGACATTTTGAGACAAAGATTTGGATCTTTTAAAGGGGATGCCCGTTGAGATACAAACAAGTTTAGATAATCCATACAAACATTGGAGATATAAGTGCAAAATCACAAAGACAAAGAGCACGTTTGTTTCCTATATTCGTCTCTGATTCTGAATCATGATCATGGTTCTCTACAGTATTTTTCTCACAAAAAATATACGTAAAATGAGAATGATTCTGAATCATGATTCTGAATACATAAACCTGCTAAATAAAAATATAACTCAACTCTTATGTTTGTAGCAAAAAGTAACATGACATATCAACGAACCTTGTTCATATCGTAGCCTATTAAGTGTGACACATTTTATTATTATAACACCCAGTTTTTTTAATAGTTAGAAAAATATTAAGAAAAAAAGTTCATTGCTGAAAATAAAAATTAAATTGGAAGGATATATTCAAGTAAAAAGGAATAAAATATATTTCGTGGCATACAAGGAACATAGTAAGGGTACATGATGGGTTTTTTACACTGAAACCCTTGTGTTTTTCCTAAATTAAAGACTTGACCGAAATATTTTACGTCAAGACCCCAAGTTTTCATAAAAATTATTAAGACACCTCCTCCGTTAGTTAAACCTAAAGGAAATTAGTTTGACCACTATAAAAAAGATGTTAAGTCAGCGCCGCTCACAATTATAATTTGTACTCCAATAGTGAAAAAATTACATTACTGAGTTGCTAAGATCAATCAACAAATAGTTCAACGGAAGAAACTGATTGGGTATTTTGGGAATTTTATATCTAAAGTTTAAAAAGTTAATGGTGCATTTGGTATATAGATCAAGAATCATGATTCTGGATTCTGATTCAGGATCCTGCTTTAGAATCAATGTTTATTTACAATAATTTTGAATCATGATTCAGAATCAGTGTTTGGTTTGGATGATTCTGAATCATGATTCAGAATCTGATGTGATGTTTTAAACTAGTTTAAATCATGATTCAAGGTGATTCAAACCCCTGATTCCGAATCATGGTTTCAGAATCATGATTTGAATCCAAAATCATATATCGTGGTGCTGGTTTCAAAATCATGATTAAAATTATCCTGATTTAAATCCTCGTGTCAAACGAACTCTAAGAGTGAGGAAGTGTTGACGTAAAATGTTTTGATCAAAGAGGTGTCTACGTAGTAATCCCAATTGCCGTAGAGATTCAGATAATTTTGGTGATAATTTGGAACATTTGTAAATCATCTATGAATAACATAATTAGTACCTGAAATGTCTTGATGGCTGGTTTATTGAGAATCTTGAGCTGCCTCTCTATCTCAAGGTCACTGAGATTACCAAAGACATAATTGAAACTGAAAGCCAACACACAGAAAATGAGAAAGCATCTTCATTACAGGTGAAATCATGAATTCTAAAATGATATTACAGATATTAATACAAGTGATATTAGAAACTAAAAGGGCAGATCTATTTATAGAGTAATTAATAAGGGACCGGTCAAATAAATAAATAAAGATATTCATGTACGTAAACAGTACATCTATGGAGTGAGAGTTTGACCTATAAACTCAGGTATTATTCATTTTACCGATTCGAGTTTTTCAGTTCTATATTTTTACAGTTAAAAGCTTTCAAAAAATGTCACATTTTACTCTTTCTATTACAGTTAAAAGCTCTCAGAAAATGTTACATCTCAACTCAAATCCGCAAAGTGAACGAGGTCTCAGTCTTCCGCTTAGGATTGATCTTTTGGATGTCACTAATGTGTGTATACAATAAATCATGTTTATTATTCGAATTTTTGGTCTTTCTCAGTTCATTGATGTACCTTGTCGTGGGGACATAATTTTTTTTTTTCTTTTCAATGAGACGTGAGTAAAACTCAAGTTTTAAATAGCCGCACATTTTTTTTTAATGATCTAAATGAATCAAGCTTTTGACTGATTTTAATTCACTTTTTATAAGGTCTATGATCCACCAAAATTGCGAACTTATATAATAATTTCATTATCTATTAACCTATTTAGCAATTTAGATTTGCAATATGAAATATTTAAAATTTTGTTGAAAACAAAGTTTTTGTTCAAATTTTTTTTTTTTTTCCAATTTATCAAATTCCGCCCTTCAACCTGAAAAGGCGAGATTATAGTTATTGTCGATGGTGAAGCTTCAAAAGGATCTATATTGTCATTGTCTTCTATATCCACATTCCACACAATATTATCTTGTTACATTCATCTCCTGAATCTGGTTGATAATTGTAACCACATTGGTGGACAAGTAAGACTAACGTCCAAACTAATACTTAAACTGAAGAAAATTAATGGGAGCGTTTAGAATAGTTTTTTTTTGCTGTTTTTAAAATGTTTTTGCACGTTTTTTATGGCACAAAAATGAAAATGGTCTTTAAATTGCGCTAGTTCAGTAAATACTTTGAAAATAAAAACGAAAAATAAAAAATAGTGAGAATTTTTATAAAGTAATTAGAAAACAGTTGAAAATTGCGTATTCTTTTCCGTTTTCATTTTCTAGTACTTATGAACACTGTTATATTAAATATTAATTACTAATTATTGACTATAAGTTAAATATTAAATTAATTATTAACTATTACATAATTAATTACTAAATAATTAATAAAAATAAAAATAATAGTAATTAATTAAAGATTAACAACCAAAAATGATTTGTAATATTTTAGTAATGGAATAATTGATAATACTTTAATAAATAAATAATTATTATTATTATATCAATTACATAAATATTAATTTGTAAATAATTAACTACTAAATAATATTAGTTTACTAATTAATTAGTAACTAAATATTCATTGAGTGGTGCACCTCATGCCCCCATCCCCTTCAGCTTTAGGCAATCTCAGAGACGGCCGATGAGTGGCACGGCCCTAAACTACAAGTTGAAGTAATTAATCGATCGAGTAAGCAGCAAAGTTAGAAAACACTCAGTTTACTACTATTATTCATAGTTTGCATGTTATTAAACATCTAACAATAATTGTGAGTGATTTTCAATCAATTGCATCATATAAGCAGGTTATAAATAAGTTTCTTATCACTTGGGAGCTTTTGGGGACCTTTACTACTGTTATAACTTGACTTTTACAAAGACTAATTTACAGCCTTTTGGTTTCCACCAAGAGTTATTTTCCAAAAATCATATCATGCGTGCCCCTAAATGGGGGTTACACATGTCGTTAATATATAGTTTGTGTGCTAGTTATGCAAGCTCAGAACGTACACTTTTCGTGAGTTCAAGTTGAGAATTTAAGTGAAAAAGCAAATTTATATAAGAGAAAACATTGTAGTAAAAAAGAGTTAGATTGTACAGAAATTTTTGTGGAGCAATGTAAAATGCTACAATCCCATTGAAAACTAGGTGATTAGAAGACAAATTTGGAAGCCACATTTTGTATCTCCTTTCATCTTCTATCTTAAGTCTTTATATCTCCCTTGTTTTCCCCTGTTTTTCCACATTGGATGACACGTAAAAGGACTACTTTTAGTAACGACAATAAGAGCAATACCCAAGCCGACATCAACATGTAAAACCCAAAAAGTCAATTACCTTAATATTTACAATATTTCAAAAGACAAGACAACCTAGATAATAATGATAAAAGTAAAACGACAAGGACCTTCGAGAAAAAGTTAAGGGCTTGTCTAGTAAATAGGTTTCAAATGATTTAATTTTTATGATTTGAAATGAAAAGTTTGGATCACTATTAAAACAAACAACATTCCACACTATGTAAAACGACAAAACAATAATTAGAAACAACATTAACGACAAAGGACAACAAAAAACGACAATCAATAAAAAACACAACTACTTAAAAACCAACATTAACTAGAAAAACCACCACAACGAAAGAAAAGAAAAACAACAATAAGAAAGAAAATGACGCCTGGATTAACGACAAGAGTCACATGAATACGACAAGAACTAAAAACAACATAAAAAAGAAAAAAAGAAACGACAATGTCCCCTCAAGAAAAAAAATGAAATGGCGATATAATAATAATAATAATAATAATAATAATAATAAGGATAGGAAAAATACCTGAAACAATTAAAATTTTGAAAATATCAAAATTACACTTCCTAATATATATTACATGTTATTTTATATATGATTTACCTTAAATGTTAAATAAAACAATTTTAAAAATGTTCAAAAAAATATTTAATCAAACAAACACATCAATCATTTTTAGAGTTTTTCAATTTTTAAGATTGAATTTATTTAAAATTTTGGTTTAATAATTTTTTAAATTGTGTATAATAAAAGTTGGGAGGAGTAATCTTGGTATTGTAAAAAAACTAATTGCTTCAAGGTGTTTTAACATTTGCATTATAAAAGGGTGAAATTGGTATTTAAGCAAAACAGTAGGGGTGTTTTGGGTAATTTATACCATAAGGAAAACTAGGAAAAACGACAATATCCTTAGTTGGCCACACACGAAAATCCAAGACACGACCTTTACACAAAAGCCCCAAATCGTCCCAACGACCACCGTATCTTTTGCCCCAAATTCGCCGTCGCCGATTCTCTCTCTCTCTCTCTCTGCAGATATTCGAGAACTAATAATCAGATTCTCCGGTGAGTTGACTTTCACTTCAATGGAAATTTTGTATCTTTCTCTCTCAGAAAACCCCTTATCTTTCGAAGATTTCCCGTTTCGGTCTTTTTTCCTTCCATCAAATTTTCGTTCTTATTGGGTTCGTATTTGTTTTGTGCTTTTTACTTGGGTTTTTACTGGTTTCTTGCATTTAAGATTAGTTTCTATCGAATTATCTTTGTGTTCTGTGGAATTGGTGTTTAAATTCAAAAACCCAGATTGTATCTTAATTATCTTTGTGGAATTATTTTATTGTATCTTAAATATTTTTTTTTATTTTTATTTTTTGCTCAACATATGGTTTATTTTCTAATTTTGCCAACAACACACTAACTTCTTGTATTTTATGATTTTATCTGCAAAACAATTCCAAATTACCATTGTGTTAGGGCCTGTTTAGAGGATGCGTTCGAAACCCTGGTTTTGGTTCAAACGGTATTTTCTCTCGTAAAAAAATGAATTTAAAAGTTATGTTATTGTGTTTTCTCTCACAAAATCCAAATTATGGCTAAAACCACTTAGATTTGAACCCGCCTTCCAAACGGACCCTTAATGTTATTATTGTTTGTGTAGTTATTCATGTTGTCTACAGTCTATTTATTTATTTATTTTTGTCTGTTTTTTTCCCCCTAAAATAACAGCTAATCTGTAAAGAAAGTGAGTTGTGTATATTTTGTTACATATTTATATCAACTGTAAAATAATCTTTTGAGGCTCTACGTTACATTTGACATGTTTTTGGATAACTTTTGTGAGATACATTGGATGGTTATTTGTTTGTTATTCCCTAATGTGTATTTGAAAATAATTGATTATGCCTCATAGTAGAGGGGGCGTCATTGATGCGTTCTTAGGCGCAAGTCCCTAAACTAATGTGCAAGTTTATTATCATTACATGATATGGTAGTGCTCTGATAGCTCGAGACTTGCCGTGTCTCAGTCTTTAGCTTGGATTGTTAGCAGACTTGTGGCAACGGAGTAGTTTCGCGCCCTTCAGGGGATTTTTACATGTTCTTTGGTTTGATTTTACTTTATATGCGGTATCGTTGTGTGTTGACTTGTCGAACCATGTGACTTTGATAACTTAGGATGCCTGTTTTCCATTCTTTATCGGACGTTACGTCTATAAAAACTATCTATGAACTAAGGAATCTAATTGATCTCACACCCTAGCCATCGGTTCTTGATTTTGGGGTGTAACAACAATATTCCAAGTATTTTAGGGTGCATCGAGGATGGGAGAACAAGACCCTGAAGCCCACCGAGCAAAGATCCTGATCGAGTTCATGAAGTCGAAGCCCCAAATGTTTCAAGGGTTGGAAAAACCTAAAGTTGCTAGGAGATGGTTGAAAGAGATCAAAAAGAAGTTTGACGCTTTTGAAGTTCCTAAAGAATATCGAATTGGCTTTACCACTTATCTGTTCGAAGGGTTGGCTGAGAATTGGTGGGACTCGGTGGTGGATGCTTATGACGTATCAGACCTCTCCTGGGGTCAGTTTTCAAGATTATTTCGAAAGAACTATAGACGCCAAGGTAGCTCTTCGAGACGCAGCAAAAGGGATCAGAGTCGAGTGTGTTCTAATTGTGGACTAACAGGTCACAGGAAACGGAACTGCCCCCGTAGGCAGCAACGTTCTTGGGGTGCTCATACTAGCCAGACACAGCCAGCTTCATATCTGAATGGATCGACTTCTTTCGCATCTGCCTCACAGCCTCCTGGGCTCCTACCTAAGTATTACCTGAATCCCGGGAGTTCCTTCCCATCTGCCTCACAGCCACACGGGCTCCTACGTCAATATTACCATCAGAAGTGATCACAAAGACTTGGGATTTGAGCAGCACCAAAATGCGTCTCTGACTCTGCAAGCATCACGAGAGTGGGGGAAATTTCTCTCAAATTGGAGGTTCTAGTTTCTGCGGCGGTAAGAAGAAATGGATGAGGGAGGCAAAGGCAGCTTCGCAGTTATAAAAGCAGCACATGAGCCTTATATTGATAACACTAGTGGTGGATGGTAAGATGGGGTTGTAACATTTTGAACGCCACATTTTTTAAAACTGAGACTGCAAATTTGTTTAATCTCACAGAAAAAGAAAAAGAAAAAAAAAACAAGGGGATTGTGTTGATGGAGGTTATAATATCTATTCTGTGTCAGTTGGCTTTTTGAATTTAAATTATCATATTTACTTGAATGATTATATTTTTTAACCACCCGTAAAATCTCATTTATTTTGGCCTATTAATTTCCGTAGTTTATTGTGGTTATTATTTTTTAGCTCTATTTTTATATATAATTCCTATTTCATGTTTTCTCATTATTTTTCTTTGAATTTTATGGCCCAGGGTTTTCTGATAGTTCGATTTTGATATGCTTTTCAGAGTGCACTCTTAAGATGTTATTTCTGTGTTAATAATTATGTTGCATGGTAGGACTAGGCTATGTTATCCTACGGTTATATTAAGCTCATTCATACAAGGAAAAACTGTTTGTACATGGTATCCATGTCGGTGATCATCTGATTGTTCGATTCTTGAACATGTATTTAAACCTTGGTTTTAGATTCTATTAGTGTTTTTTTCACACCAAATTAAAATTTAAAAAATTTTCCTCAATGAATTCTCTCATTAAATTCAAATTTTGATTCAAGCACCGATTCGAATTTTGCTACAGTAAAAAATTCTCAAAAATAATTACATTTAATTTTTTTATTACAGTAAAATGCTCTCATATAAAATCATATCTCAAATCGAATTAAAAATTTAAATCAACGAACTAAACTGATTTTTAATTTAAACACATATTCTAATTAGGCGCTTAGTGCTTTGGACCTTTTGTGGTCTTTGGAGGATTTTTTCACATCAGCTGTCTAACTGATGTCAAAAGTGACCGTAGAGGCTTTCCACATCGGTGACCGTTAAACGATGTGCTTTTCATGTCGATTGCCTAGAACCGGCGTAAAAAGCAATGTTTTCGTAACTTTTTGTGTTGGTTGTCAGGCAACGTGAAAAGTGTTCAGTGTTGATCAAAGCACTGATAGACATGGATAATATTCTCGTTTACTTCACGGATTTAAGTTTTTAATTTGAGTTGAGATGTGACATTTTTTGAGAGATTTTCACTGTAATAGAAAAAGTTGATGTGACATTTTCTGAGAACTTTTTACTGTAAAAATATAAAACTAAAAACTCAAATCGATAAAATAAACGAGACTAGTTATTCATAGTATGATCTTGTAGTAGGGACAATTCATTATCATTATTAATAATTATTAATTTTCTTATTTATATAATATTTACTAATTTTTATGGTAACGAATCTAATGGCCCACACAAATTTCATTTTAAAATAGAAAATGCTATTTATTTAATAAGGTATTAGTTGAAATAACGACAAATTGGCCCATGTAGATTTCGAACCCGCGATCCTTCGCGTAACACTTTGAAGATTTCCATTTTGTTTTATTATGAATAAGGCTATTTTGTATGAAACACTTTCTGAACTTCTCAAATTTGATAATTTAGTCTCTAAATTTTTTTTTTCACGGCAATCAACACCCCAAATTTTTAGTTTTTAGCACTTTCAACTTTTGTTGCTCAAATTTATTAAAATTTTGACAGTCTTTTACACCTAACTTGCAAATGATAGCTTAATAAGGACATTGATGTTCATTTTTGTTAGTTTCAGTAGAAATACATTTAAAAACTTGTACTTAATTTAATTATAACTTAAATTTTAATCTAAATTTTAACATGAAATATTATTAATACCAAACAAAAATGATCATTAATGCGCTTTTTAAGCTGCCACTTGTAAGTAATTTGACACAAACAATATCAAAATTTTAACGAATTTGAGCAACAAGGACTAGAAATGCCAAAAATTAAAAGTTTTGAGAATTGATTGACAAAAAAAAAAAAATTTAAGGACTAAATTGTCAAATTTAAAAAGTTTAGGTGGTGTTAATACACAAAAGCCTATGAATAAACGTAAAAGCGATCAGAAAAAAAAAATTTTAATATAGCGTAGTATTATTTGATCAACAAATTTTTTTTTTTTTTTTTTTTTTTTTTGTGGGACTCAGCATAGTTGTTCTGGCAATAGGGGCCCCTTTGTCACCACGCATAGTCGATGATTTTTACGAACACAAGTGAGAAGTGCTCTAGTATTTCTTTGTTTTCTTAAGGTTTTATATTTTCCACTACAAGATTTTTGGGCCCACTTTTCGCAAAGCTTGGTTCTTGTTTCTGGAAATGGTAGTTCTGAGATATGATTGTCGTTTTTGGAGCTGGAAATAAGTGAAGAAGGAGAAGGATGACGATCATTTAGAGATGGAGCAGAAGGAATATTGGCATGTAGCAAAGGCAATACATTCATACTTGAAATAATCATCAATATTTCGTAGACGTTTAGTTCATTGATTCAGAACTATGATTTAGAATTATTCTCGATTTACGTGTATTTTTTATTAGAAAAAACACTGTAGCGAGCCATGAATCATGATTCAAACCATGACACGAATCCTCATCATTTGTTTGTCTTCCGTGACTTTTTTTTCCCCCTTGTTTTGTTTGTTGGTGGTAGTTGAAGATAAATACCAATTTATACAATAAACCCTTTTTACATGCATGGCTTGTAAAAGGAGAATTTGTAAAAAAATTAATCATGTAAGGGCTTACTTTTAATTATTTGGCTTAAGTGTAGGTCACTAATTATAAATGAATTAGGAAAAAAATAGAAGTGATAATTTTCGATGTACTACAAGAGGTAGTCTGTAATTAATTATTCTGGTTATAGGTGAGAGTTTTTAACAAATTAAATTTGTAGTGGAAAACCGTAGATAATTAGATATATGCGTATCAATTTTCGAGTAGAAAAATGTTACATGTTGGTTAATTTTCCTAGTAAGATGGGCAACTACAAGATAAATACAAAGTCGAATACCTTTTGCATTGTTTAGTTTAATAAAAGTGAGTGGGTGATTTGGCTTGAGATTGGGTTTTTAGTGGGGTGCCATAAGAAACTCCATTACATATTCCTGAGGTTGATAATCCATCCAAGCTTTTATACCACCACAATGACAAACAAGAACCAGTTGAAAAACCTTAATGCCCCGTTCATTTCACGGGTTTAAATTTTGTGAGTTTGAATCCTTAGGTTTAAATTTTTGGGTTTGAATTTATATAGGAGTTTTCTGTTATTTGAACATGTATTTAGTAGTATAAGATCTAAAATGGAAGTAAATTTTGAACTAATGTTTGATTACATCATGAAAACTGTGTTTTCAAGAACTGCGTTTGGTAGGTCATAATAGTTTTTGAAGTTGAAAAACTAATCAATTAATAAAAAAATCATATTTACATAACGCATATATACATAACGATTAAAATAATAGATAAACAGTATAATAGTTTATTATTAAAATAATGATTCATAACAAATAAGTACTAATTAAATAATAGAGGATCAAAATAATAATAATTATTAATTAGCAATAAATCAAATTGTTATGTTATTAGTAATTGGGTTGGTGGGATCAATAATATGGATTAGAACCATCAAGAACATTAGGGGGGGAGGTATGTAGAATCCTCAATTTTCGGTTCAAGTGGGTTCAAACCGAAAACTAATGAGAAACCAATTTTGTTCAAACCGAGAAACCAATTTTGTTCAAACCGAGAAACCAATTTTGTTCAAACCGAGAAACCAATTTTGTTCTTCGCAATTAGGGCCATGAGCATCGATCGACGACTCGGTGGTTCTTGCCTTTTTCTCTGAAATCATAATAAGAAAAGTAAAGAATGAGGCAAAAACTATCCCCAAGTTTTGTCTAAATACAACTTTTATTTCTGAGTTTTTAAAATCTAAAAAGTATTTCTCTATGTTTTCAATCCATACCAAAAGTATCTTTATTTTAACCTTCTATGTTTAATTTTTTAAAATGTCAAATTATTTTTAGATATCCGATATATTATTCAATTTTTTTCTGGACTACACCAAGCTCTAACCCCCCCTCTTAGATTTTCTTTTTTTTTTTTTTAAAAAAAAGGGGGGTGATAGAGGGAAATAGGCCAACATTTGGAAGGAATTAAAATTAATAGACTAAAGTTTTAGAAAAGTTAATAAATAGGCCAATTTAAGGTAAATCTAGATTTATAAACAATAAATTTCTAAAAATACCCTTAAATGAGAATTCCACTCAAAACTCTAATACTTGTCTCTCTCTCTCACCGACCTCTCTCTTCACTCTCACTTGAACCCGGAGAGAGAGAGAGGGCAGAAAGAGAGAAAGTGTAACAGGGAGGGGGGAGGGGAAGATAAGAAGAAAATGAGAAAATAAAAATGAAAACAAAAGATAAAACTGAAAAATAAATAATTTAAAATTAAAAATGACCTATAAATTTCTAATCATTAATAAATAATCTATTTACTTTTACAAGTTTTTTAAGTTAGCCTATTTACTACAATTTATAAAAAATTTACTACAATTTCTCAAAAAGAGAAATTAAACTGTTCGGTCAGATTCGATAAACCCAAATCTCTAAAGCTCAAACTTGTGATCAAACCCGAATGTCAAGTCGAACCCAATCAGTCGATCGATTGAAGTCTTCGTCAAGCCCATCAGACATGCGAAGTCCTAAAAATGTTCGACATCGAGCCCATTTCGAGGGACAGATGATAATGAAGGGGTTGACTTCCTTGAGGCAAAAAGCATGATTCCACGGCACTATACTAATAACTGCCCACAATCAGAAGTAACTCCCAATAGACATATTCTGACACGTGTCAGAATTTGGAAGGCCCACTATCCACGTTTTGGGTAGTAGCAGTAACAGCCCACGACAAAAGAAGTTAGAAAGGGAGTGGGGTCGAGCTCGAGAGACCCCTGACAAAAGGGTTACGACTTGTACGACCATTTTTTAGACCATTTGGAGAAAGAAAAATAGTGAATTTCTTAGGCTGTGTTTAAAATTAACGTCGTTTTTATTTTTTACGTTTTTTTTAAAAAAAAAAAAAAATTTAAAATGGTATTTAACGTAATAAAAATAAAAAATAAAAATAAAAATAATTTTTTAGATCTCGTTCATTTTACCGATTTAAGTTTAGAATTTGAGTTTTGTTACAGTAAAAATCTATCAGAAATAGTTACATTTAACTTTTTTGTTACAGTAAAAAGCTTTCACATAAAGTCACATCTCAATTCGAATTAAAAACTCAAATCAATGAACTAAACGAGCCCTTAATTTAGTGTAAAATGAGAGAAATAAAAAACGACTTTTAATCGTTTTTCATTTTTTGTTTTTTTTAAACATCTGTTGAGCAGAGAGAGAGAAAGACATTAATAGGTTTTTTTACACTGAAAATAATCTCTTAATAAAACTATCAAACGCATTTTTAAAAATAATTTATGTCTGAAATTGAAAACGTTTTCATTTTTAATTTTATACAAAAAATAAAATTATTTTAAAACGAATTCTAAACGCACCTTAATTTTATATCAGCAATTATGGTCTCATGTACTTTATTTTGGTTGATTTACCTTTTTGATGCATTGTTGATTGTTCTTATTGTAATTGACGTTTTCTGTCTCAAAAGATTTTCCATGAAACCTGGTTTAATTAATGGCTTAAATGCGGAAAATAACGGTGACCAAAGGCCCAATATCATAGAAATCTAATATTAACTGACATTTATAAATTTTAGCTGTAGAAGCACGACTACATAAACTTCTTAGAAAATTTACTATACCAATTTGAACAAGTATTTGTTTGTTTTTTTTTTTTTCCTTTATTTTAATAAGAAAGTGAAATCTTTTTTGAAAAACAATGTAATTTTTTTTTTTGAAATTTTATTTGGCAAAACATGACGAATTTATTTACCAATTTGAAGTGAAAGTGTATTTTGTAGTGCGTAATAAACCAACTTGCTAGAAGAAAAGGATTACAAAACCAGACCATTTATATGGTTGCTGCGCAAAAAATAACAGATCCAAGAACAAACAGCAGCTCACCGACTAGCTGAAGGACAAAATGGAAGAACAAAATTGCAGAGGGCCTGCAAACTAACTATTTATTTTAAAAAAAAATTGCCCAACTATTCCAATATAAAAAAGAAATCAGGGAAAAGATTATACTTTGATATTATTTGGTCAACATAGGTGTTCTGGCAATAGGGTTCATGCATAATCGAGTTTCTATTTTGACACAAGCCAAAAATGCCCTCGTCTCTTTCCGAACTTTTATTAAGGGTTAGAATATTCATGTACAAATTTCATCCGCCCGCTTTTCGAATCTTAGGTGTGTTTGGAATTAGTTTCAAAATGCTTTTGTTTTCAATAAAAAGTAAAAATGAGATTGTTTTGAGAATCATTCTGAGACCGATTCTAAAAATATGTTTGGTTGATTTTTTAAAAGGTTGTTTTGAGTATAATAAAAAAGTACAATAGTGTTTATTAAGTAATATATTATAATACTGTTGATAAGTACTAAAAAATGAAAACAAAAAGGTGAAAATAACTTTCAACTGTTTTTTAATTCTTTCGTAAAAATCATTCTCATTGTTTTCGTTTTCAAAACATTTGTTAAACAAACGTTGTTTCGTTTTCATTTTCATTTTTTGCTTCCCGAAATACGTGAAAATTATTTTCAAAAACGGTTCCAAACACGCACCTTGATTCTAGTTTCTGGAAATGGAAGTTCTGAGATTCGATTGTCGTTTTTGGAGCAGGAAATAAGCAAAGAAGGGGGAGGATGATGATCATGTAGAGATAGAGAAATAGGAGTATTGGCATATAGCAAAGACAAAACATGCATACTTGAAATAATCATCAATACTACAATGATTCCTCTTATCATGTGTTTGTCTTCCATGACTTTTTTTTTTTTTTCTTGTTTTGTTTTGTTTGTTGTAGGTGAAGATAAATAACCATTTGTACTAGAATCCTTACATGCATGGCTTGTATAAAACGACAATTCTTGTTTTTTTTTTTTTTTTTTTCAAACCAAACTAATCACCTAAGGGCCTATTTTTGTTTATTTTGATGATCATGTAGAGTCATAACTTATAATTATATATAAATGATCCTCATTTGTTTGCTCTGTTCCTTTAGTGTGTTTGTTGTTGGCTTTTTGGCACTGTTGAGCGGCTCCTAGTTGGGGCCTTTGTATAAATGCATTAGAAAAAATAAAAACGGAAAGTCTCGATGTAGTAGTACAAGGGGAATCAACCCCTGTGTCCTTTTTTGTGTCCCATTCATATCCTTCTAAAAATATAATGCCACGTTAATTAAAGTTTTTATCACGTTAATTAAAAAGTGATGAGAGCTACTTGATGCGTTGTAGATGATAAAGGTATACTTATGCCTCGTTCATTTTACTGATTTGAGTTTTTAGTTTTAAGTTTCTATATTAAAAAACTCTCAGAAAATGTCACATCTAACTTTTTTGCTACAATAAAAGGTTCTCAGAAAATGTCACATCTCAGCTCGAATTGAAAATTCGAATCCGCAAAGTGAACAAGACCTTAGAATTATGGCAATAGGGGTCCCTTTATCTCCATGCATTCTCGAGTTCTACTTGCACAAGTATTAAATGATATAATATTAGTAGTACCAAAATTTTCAAGTATCTAAAGTACCTTCACTTCACTGATTCGAGTTTGTAATTCGAATTGAGATGTGATTTTATGTGAGAGTTTTTTACTGTAGTAAAAAAGTTAGATGTGACTGTTTCTGAGAACTTTTTACTGTAGCAAAACTCAAATTTTAAACTCGAATCGGCGAAGTAAACGGGGCCTAAATTCATATTGACGAGCTTTACACGCCCAATTTTAGTAAATAGTGAGTCTCCTTACCGGAAATGGAAGTTCTGAAATGTGATTGTCGTTTTTGGAGTGGGAAATAAGTAAATTAGAAGAGTAAGGACAATGAGAAATAGGAGTATTGGCATGTAGGAAAGGCAATACATGCATACTTAATATGATATAATTATCAATTTTGAAATGATTACTCTTTTCGTGTGTTTCTCTTCAATACATTAATGACTAATTCTTCTTTTCTTCTTTTTGTTTATTGGTTGTAGTTGAACATAAATAACTATTTATATTTGTAAAGCCCTTTCTCATGCATGGCTTGTAAAAGGAGAAATTTTATTTTACTTAGTGAATTAAATAAAAAAAGCTCTGAGGGCTTAATTATGTTTCTTCTAATTAAAATAAATTAACTTAAAAACACTTAAATGATTGTGTTAAATTAGCGTTGAAAAAGCAATTTAGTGAAAAATTTCAACATCCCAATTTAAAATGTAACACAAATATCTTTCAATTTTCTCAACTTTTAATACTTTAAATCTAATAAAAAATTTGAAGAAATTTAGTGAAATGGGGCACATTGCAACAAATTTACAAATTCGGGAGGAAGAAAAATGTAATCCCTTTAAAGTTTAATGTGTCATCCCATTTTGAAAACGGGGGAAGAAGGAATCAGAACAGGGAAAAACTCAAAAGCAGTCTATTTTGAAACACTATTGTCATTTTTGAAGCATGAAACAAGTGAAGAAGAGGAAGGATCATGAGCACATGGAGATAGAGAAATAGGAATATAGCACTGGCATGTAGCGAAGGCAAGACATGCATACTTGAAATAATCATCAATATTGAAATGATTTCTCTTTTGATTATGTGTTTCCCTTCCATAACTTCTTTTCTTCATTTGTTTTCTGGTTTAAGTTGCAGTTTTTTATTTTTTTATTTTTTTTCCCTTTAGCTTTGTATATTTAGCTTTGCTCTTTTATATAATTGTGCTACTCACACATTATATTATTAATTTCATTTTGCGTCAAAATTTTTCAACTTAGTGTTCAAAATAAAACATTCACTAACATTGGATTTTCTATCCTTAGAAAGCTCATACAGAGTTTTATTCATTTTAGGACTAATAAGAATTCTATTTACAAATAAAATATGAAGTATTAACGCCTTTGACTTAAAAATACTCTAATAAATCATTTTTATTCAATATTTACCTAGCCATCATGTTTTCCTAATCTAAATGCTTGGTATTGACAAAGCATTGGAAATGCTCATGTTCTCCTTTGTATGCCTTTCGGTCCTTTCTCGAGTTTATTTGTTATAATATTTACACAAATATTATTCTCTTTTCTTCAACATTAAAAAAAAAGAAAAAAAGGAAAATAAATAAATAAATGAGAGAGGAATTCCATACGTTTATTGTGAGTTTTTCACCAATTTACATAATTCAATGATGCTATAGTGCACCCAAAAGAAATTATTTGGATAAATAAAATACACCAGTATCCGGTGACTGATTCCAATTTAGAGAAACAGCAAAAACAAAAACATCAAGAAGTAAATATTAAATATGACAGAGAAAAATATAGATGAAAATGGTTAATGTGGATCTCAAACTTAGAATTCTGGAAATAGGGGTCTCTTCATCTCCATGCATATTTGAGCTTCCATGACTTCTTTTCTTCTTTTGTTTGCTGGTTTTAGTTGAAGGTGAATAATTATTTATATTAGTAAAATCCCTTTTCTTGCATGGCTGGTAAAAAGAGGAATTTCTTGATGAATTTAAAAAAAAAAAAAAAAGAAACACTTTTAGGGCTTAAGTTTGTTTCTTTTAATTAAGTTGATTTAGATAATATCTTATAATTTTTATATATAAATGCATTAGAATTAAAAGAACGATTTATGATTTTTCTACGTGAGGTAGCGTATACTTTTTTTTTAATAAAGAGGTAGCGTTCACTTATTTATTATCCTCTGTAATGAAGTGTTTTTTCACAAACTTATTGGAAAATGATAAATATATGTATCAATGTTTTAGATTAAGTTGATCCATAAGAAAAATTGAGGTAGAACAATATTAGTTGATTTTTTAAATAAATGATAAGAGAGGATAACTGATATTAAAACTGTTCAAAATATCCCAACTAGAGTGACACTCTCTGAATAACTTATCCTTTACTAAACCCCCAATTTAAATATTATTAAAAAAGAGAAAAATCAACAACCAAATTTGAACCATTTCTCAATTTATGCATGTATCTTTGCACAGGGGCCATGCTAATCTTCTCTGTATCGTGTTAAGAACAATATTAGTTGATTGTTATTTTTAAAATAAGATAGATGAACACAATGAAAATACAGCCTCCAAAGCTATTAAATTAGTGTTTATAGGGTGTAGTTTTAATGGTTACACCAATATTTATCCATTAGTAAAGCATTATTATTTTAACCATATAAAAATAAAAATTAAATAGGTGTAGCAAATTGAATAGTTGATAAAAAAGAATTTTGACAATATATTATTGGCCTATCAAATATAGATACATATACGCATGAGTCTAGATTTACTGTCTCTATTTTTCTGTCTTTGTGGTTGTCTCTTCACTACTTATTTATTATGTTATCTAAATTTAGAAATAGGAATAAAATACTAAAAACACTTAAACAATTCACGACGTGTCAAAATTTAATTGGAGCAACAACTATACCGAAACAGGAAAATGAGACAACAAATCTTTATCCTATATATGGAAGTGGTTTCAATGACTATTTCAATATTTATCTATTAGTGGGTATTAATATTTTAACCGTGTGATATTGATTAGTTGGTTGTAATGAATAGATAGTTGATTAAAAATAAATTAATGATAATTAATGACCACTAAACCTTGAAAGCATATGAAATGTGTTTTTAGGTGGGTAACTAGTTATTTACCTGCTTATGTGGAATTTTAAATACTTTTTGTATTTAAATAAAATATAAATTAAAAATTCGTTCTTGCATTGTATAATCCAATTTCTGATTTTCTTTTCTGTCCCGGATTAATTTTTTAATTTTAATATTTCTTGTAAAATCTTTTTGAGAAACTCGTTTTTATATGGGTTAGAAACTAAATTAAACCACATATTATATATAATTAGTTTGAGGGAAAAAATATAGTAAATAGCATATTTTAGACATATTATTGAAGTTTATAACATATATTTTTAATGTTGATAAATTATAGTATATTTTAAATTTCCACTCTAAAAAAATAGTCATTTTTAAATTTATCCATGTTTGTAGGGTTTTCATTTCTTTTGTTTCTTACTTAGCCAATTGCCCTCTCCATCTCTCTCTTTGTCGCCAGCGATGTCATGGGTACCGGCGCAGGTGTTGGTGGCCGGCGATAACATATTTACCTATAAATACAATATTTAATAGTCTTCATCGTCAGCATCGATGCCGTCATCCGTATTTACGAGCAAATAAGATATTTATTAGTCATCAGTGCCCGTGAACCGATAATCCATAAATATCCGACCTATGGGTACATACAGTAATTGTGTAATGACTGAGAAAATTCCAGACCTTAAATAATACAATTCATGTATTTTTAAGCCAAGGATTTTCTTAGAAAATATTATGTTATATTGTGAATGGAGGATTTATGGAATTAATATATGTATTCCTAAATTCTATAGCAAATTTCATGTTAAGTTCATGTTTCGATCAAGTAAATTCGATCGATAAATTCTCGCAGTATTTTAAGGCGGAATAATTTTCAGTACAAGTATAGTTTGAGAATCTTAATTTCAAGAATCTCTAAGCACAGCACGATGTTAGCGGCGTATAAAAAAAAACGCACTGGCATTTTAAAAGAAGAAAAAAATCCTTAATTGCTAGACAGTTAGGTTAAAGTCACAAGATAAATACCTAGAGTAGATGGATACAATATGAGCTCGGGAGTTGACACTGTCAGAAACGTCATTCTTGGGATAGAATACAGAAAATTAAAATTTAGAATTTGTTCAGTCTAAAATTAATTTCAAGACTTGAAACAGTTTGAAATATTACGCGAGAGAGAATATAAAACAATATTGAATTATTCAGAAATTGATATTGGACTGTAAGTAGTAGATTAACTTACGTGAGCTAAACTAATTACCTCTAATCAGTATAAATTTAATCTATTTAGAGGAAATAATTGAGGATAAGATCAGGCACGTAATCTT